GATGTCCTTCTCCAAGGGCTGCTTTCTCCTGACAACATGGTCAAAGTACATGTAATGAAGTGTCACCATCCTTACTTCTAAGGAACATTCTCTACTTTTTCCACGGCAGATTTCTTCTTTTGGGAGCTCACGTGAATTGCCTCATCAGATCCATTGCATTATTGCTCTATTGGTTTTCCTTTTCTTTATTCATCAGTAAAGATACCGGCCCTTTGTCTAAAATATGTTAAAATGTAATTTTCCCAATTTCTGGCTTGGATTTCAGCTTGGCTTACTATGCTTTTCCTATCTTGTTTACTATGCAGATATTAAAATCTCATTTGGCCAAGTTTTTTCATCTTTCCCCAAATGACTTTTGATTCTGCTGTCACTCAGAAAATTTTATTCATTCCCTGAAAAAATATTTCATTCTAGTATTTAATCTTCAAAAAAGAAAGAATAATACAGTATATGACAGCTGGAATTTGGGAGTAAACTGTGAGGTACAGTTCTTACTGTTTTCCCTCAACTGGCTACCCAGTTATCCTCTTCTTAATAATTCTTTCTCCACATATGTGAAGCTGTGAGATGCCTTTCTATCTATATAAAACACACACATACACTTGGGCCTTTTTCTCTTAATAAACAATAGGCTTAAGAAGAGCTGCTCATACCTGTAGAACCCTGCGACAGAGGAATATTTTATAACCATACCCAGTATCTGATTTGGTATTAGTTATCCAGTAATTTTCTATTCCTTCTCGAGTAATACTGGATATACCTATTAAGAGATCCAACATGTTTAAACTCAGTCACAATCCAATTTGGGTTAAAGAACGTAAGCTGGCTCAAAACGAGACTGCCTATCCCTTTAAATTAAAGTTCGTTTCTGTAAAATCCAGAACAGTGCGTCAGGATTCTCTTTTGAAAGCCTTCAGAATCCAGGTAGCTCTGTGGGAAGAAAAGGACACAGGAGGAACCCATGGAAGGCGTGGTCAGACCTCAGCGGAGAAAAGCTTTATTGCAAGAGCTCCTAAAGCTAATGAAAACAGGTAGTGGAGGGCTCTTTACAGATGTGGTCCTGATTTTT